TTTTTTTTTTTTGGTGGAGATGGAGTCTTGTTCTTGTCACCCCCCAGGCTGGAGTGCAATGGAGTGATCTCAGCTCACTGCAACCTCTACCTCCTGGGATCAAGCGATTCTCCTGCCTCAGCCTCTCAAGTAGCTGGGATTGCAGGCACGGGCCACCACTCCTAGCTAATTTTTTGTATTTTTAGTAGAGATGGGGTTTCACCATGTTGGCCAGGCTGGCCTCGAACTCCTGACTTCAGGTGATCCACCTGCCTCGGCCTCCCAAAGTGCTGGGATTATAGGCATGAGCCACTGCGCACAGCCACTTTAGTGCTTTTATAGAAATATAAAATGTCAAATGCTTAAAATTTCTTTTTCTCATTCTTTCAGTGGCTCTGCTTGGCTGGTGTCCCAGGCATACGCTCATTCTGCTTACTGAGACTTTTAACTCTGCCTTGCAACCCTACAGGGTCCCAGAGGCGAGTTAGGAAGAAAGGCCCAGGACTTCCCCTCTGAGCGACCCCTGAAAAAGGCCCTCACTCCCAACCCCCATCCTGCCCTCCACCCCACCTTGCCTGCCAGAGTACTAGGCACAGCAACCCAGCCAGGAAACAGGAGACGCCGCCAGTTAATTTCCCCTCCCTCCCACTCTGGCCAAGGCTTCAGAGTTCCAGAACCAGAGCCAACTCCCTGATAAGGGCTGGGTGTGTTTGTGGAGAGAGGCACAAGGGAGTGCCAGCCATGCCGACCTGTGACCTGGTCTCTCCCAAGTCACTCACCTAGCACAACTGCCTCTAAGGAGACATTAATTCCCTGGCTACCTTTAGAAAGTCCTCTGTCCATCCTCCCCGAGGGAAAGGGAGGAGACAAGGAAGAGAACCAGGCATCCAGATGTGGTCAGGCAAGTCCGAGATAGAAGCACCTGAATTGAGAACAGAGGTGTAACTGCCATGTTCAAAGCAGTTCCCTTTTTACAGATGGATTGCATTCCAAAAGTCTGTAGTTAATGTTCCCTCTAAGGTAAATCAACCAGATCAATTGTTTATTGAGCATTTACTATGTACCAGGCACTATGCTAAATGTGCATTCTTTTATTTAGTCCTTCTGAGAACCCTGAATAAGATCAAGAATAAATTGAACTTATTCTCACTTTGTGGATAAAGAAAGAGGAGCTCAAAGAGATTAAATAATTTGTCCCCATCTGGCCAGACATGGTGGCTCATGCCTGTAATCCCAGCACTTTGGGAGGCCGAGGCAGGCAGATTGCGAGGTGAGGAGATCCAGACCATCCTGGCTAACACGGTGAAACCCCGTCTTGACTAAAAATACAAAAAATTAGCCGGGCGTGGTGGCGGGTGCCTGTAGTTCCAGCTACTTGGGAGGCTGAGGCAGGAGAATGGCGTGAACCCGGGAGGCGGAGCTTGCAGTGAGACGAGATCACGCCACCGCACTGCAGCCTGGGCAACAGAGCAAGACTCCGTCTCAAAAAATAAAAATAAATAAAAATAATAATAATTTGTCCCCAGTTATCTGGCAGAGTCAGGGTTGGGAACAGATTTTCATTCCCAAACCTGGCGGCTATACCGTGATGCCACACGATTTTGAGCAGGAAATAACTTCCCAAATTAAGCCACTAGAACACTTTTTATCCATTATGCATCCAAAAATAGTGTACATTTGCAAAGGGAAAAAAGGAAACAATAGTTTGAAATACTAATGAATTAATGTAGAAAAACAATGAAATGGACTGGGAAAGTTATCTAGAAAGAGGAGTCTATGAAAAGTTACTTTATTGAGAAGAGGATGTGGAGGATGCTGAAAATGAATGTGAGTTAAATCCACAAGGGGAGGTTGGATACTTGCAAAGATTTAAGGGTTTGCTGGTCTTAGTATCTAGCTTCATTGCCAACTTGTGCATTTTCCTTAAGACAGCAGCTATGACTGGAATTATTTTAAGTTAAGAAACACGGCATAGTGGCCGGACGTAGTGGCTCACGCCTGTAATCCCAGCACTTTGGGAGGGTGAGGCGGGCGGATTGCGAGGTCAGGAGATCGAGACCATCCTGGCTAACACGGTGAAACCCCGTCTCTACTAAAAATACAAAAACAAAATTAGCCGGGCGTGGTGGTGGGTGCCTGTAATCCCAGCTACTCGGGAGGCTGAGGCGGGAAAACGGCGTGAACCCAGGAGGCGGAGCTTGCAGTGAGCTGAGATCGCAGCCACTGTACTCCAGCCTGGGCGACACAGTGAGACTCCGTCTCAAAAAAAAAGAAAAAAAAAAAGAGAGAAAGACGGCATGGTAGGCATGGTGGCATGCAGCACCTGTAGTCCCAGCTATTCAAGAGGCTATAGGAGGATCACTTGAGTCCAGGACTTTGAGGCTGTGGTGCGCGATGATCATGCCGGGGAACAGCCACTGCACTCCAGCCAGGGTGATATAGTGAGACCCCCATCTCTAAAACACAAAACATAAAAAAGAAAAGAAAAAAGAAATACAGCAAAGAAAAGTGGGGGTAAGAGAAGAAGACAGAAAATTGTTTCTGTATAGGTAGCACAACAAGGAGGGGTAAAAATTGAGACTATGTAGGTACAAGAATTCTCCGTGTGGAATTATGCAGCTGAGGTAACAGTCTTTTTTCATCCAAGGTGACATTTATGTAACTTTATCAGTGAGAAAGGCAAGCGGAGAGCCAAGTGCATCGTCTGCCCAAAGGGTAGAACTGGTGACAGGTGAGAATAATAGTCACACTTTTCTCTCCACTGGCTTCAAATCACTTGATTACTGAGACAACAGCTTCCAGGTATGTTAGGGCAGGCAGAGTCAAAGGCACCTGGACGCTGAGACGTTCTTGATTATACCAATTTCCCCAGAGGAGCTCGTCCTGGTCCATGGCTTTATGTCACCCACATGCTGAAATATTCAGACTGCTGCTTTGAGCTCTAGGATCACACAGCCAGTGCCACTTTGAAATCTCCAGGGTAATCTTATCCCCAGGCACCCCGATCTGTACCTCCTGCAGACTTCCTCATACATTAAATGGCATCACCTTCCAAGCCAAAAACTTAGGAGCATCCTGGATTTCTCTCTTTCATTCCCCACCAATTAATCCATCAACAGGACTAAAACAAACCTACACTTCTTGTCCTGGCTGACAGCCCTGCCTCTCTCTCTGACTTCATCTCACACTCTGTTTCTTCACACTTACTGTGCTCCAGTCTTCCTTCTGTTCCTTAAACATGACACCGTCATTCTTAGCCTAGGGCTTTTGAGTTTGCCTTTTCCTCTGTCTGGAACACCCTTTCCCACCTCATTGCATGGCAAGCTTCTCATTCTTTAGGACTCAGATTATGTATCAGCTCCTTAGAGACTCGACCCCTTCCTGACCTTCCGATGTGAAGTTTCTCTAAATTATTCTCAGTCACATCACTTGGTTTCTTTTCTTCATAGTACCAATTTATGTCCTTTATTTATTTCCTTTTTTTTTTTTTTTTTTAGACAGAGTCTCGCTCTGTCGCCCAGGCTGGAGTGCAGTGGTGTGATCTTGATTCACCACAACCTCTGCCTCCCAGGTTCAAGTGATTCTCATGCCTCAGCATCCAGAGTAGCTGGGACAACAGGTGCCCGCCACCACGCCCAGCTAATTTTTGTATTTTTAGTAGAGATGGGGTTTTGCCATGTTGGCCAGACTGGTCTTGAACTCCTGACTTCAGGTGATGTGCCCACCTCGGCCTCCCAAAGTGCTGGGATTACAGGCGTGAGCCACTGCGCCTGGCTTAGGGATGTCTTATTTTTTATTGTACCTAGCAGGGTACCTAGTACACTGCATTAATTAACAAATGAATGACTAAAAGAAGCTTTCTAATTCAAAAAATACATCTTTTAGAGAGTCAAGTTTTTATATCAATTATAAGGTTAGTGGTAAGTGCATTTCTTGTTCTAGGACCTTTAATAGAGCTACATTTGGGCCGGGTGCGGTGGCGCATGCCTGGAATCTCAGCACTTTGGGAGGCTGAGGTGGGTGGACCATCTGAGGTCAGGAGTTCAAGACCAGCCTGGCCAACATGGTGAAACCCCATCTCTACCAAATACAAAAAATTAGCCAAGCGTGGTGGCGCATGCCTGTAATCCCAGCTACTTGGGAGGCTGAGGCAGAAGAATCGCTTAAACCCGGGAGGTGGAGGTTGCAGTGAGCCGAGATGGCACCACTGCACTCCATCCTGGGCAACAAGAGCAAAACTCCATCTCAGACAAAACAAAAACAAAATAAATATATCTACATTGGTGGGGAAGATAACTGTTTTTTTTTTAAAGCCAGAATTAGACAATTCACAACCCAGCCATGGCAGAGCTAGCACCTGATTAGCTCCTAATCAATACCAGAAGATATTCTAGAGAATGTAGTTGTTTCAGGATGCATATGAATAGTGTATATGCACATAACACATATTATAATAGCTACTCTGTATGGAGTCCCTTCTATGTGACAGGCACTGTGCTAAGTGCTTTATAAGCACTCTTGTGATTAGTCCTCACACACAAAAAACCCCTGTAAGGTAAGTACTAGTATTGCGCTCACTTTGCAGTTGAGAAACCTGTGGTTTAGAGAAGTATCTTACTAGTTGGAATTCAAACCTAGGTGGGTCTGATTCCAGAGCCTGTTACTCTACTGTCTAGCATGTCCTGCTAGATTCCTACCGATGCCATAAGATATGGGTAGGTACCACTGGCCCAATAGGTACTGCAGGGCAGGTACTAGTGGCCCAGTTTTAGGCATAAGGAAGCAAAGGTTCAGAAATATTGAGTGACTTGCCTGAGATCATCAGCTAGTTAGTGGTGGCCTGGAATTGAGTCCAAGTCCTTTTGACTTTAATCCCAGGACTGATTCTGCTATAGCTTATAGACCCTCTTGGGCAAAAGACAAGAGGTGAGACTGGGCAGGATGTATATGCCATGGGCCCTTGGGGACCAAGGAAAGGAAAAGTATGCTATGGAAACAGCAGATATTCCTCTCTCCCGCAGGCATTCCTAGAGAAGTATGGATACCTCAATGAACAGGTCCCCAAAGCTCCCACCTCCACTCAATTCAGCGATGCCATCAGGTAGGGTGGAGGGATGTGGAGGACTTGGGGTAGGGGTGCTAGGATGCCAAGCTCTGGCCATTTCCTCCCTCCTTCTGGAAGCCTGGCTGGCCACACCCCAGGGAGGCAGACCTCCCTGCCCTCACCCTTACCACTCACCCTCCCCTTGTGGTCCTTTCCTCCTGACAGAGCGTTTCAGTGGGTGTCCCAGCTACCTGTCAGCGGTGTGCTGGACCGCGCCACCCTGCGCCAGATGACTCGTCCCCGCTGCGGGGTTGCAGATACCAACAGTTATGCGGTCTGGGCTGAGAGGATCAGTGACCTGTTTGCTAGACACCGGACCAAAATGAGGCGTAAGAAACGCTTTGCAAAGCAAGGTGAGCACTGTTAAAATCTGGCTAGGCTAAGATTTCCCAAAGTCTTGAAGCCAATGGCTAGGAAAACAGCTGAGCCTGGGACTGGACTTTATTGGTAACCTCTCTTCCCTAGGGCACGGGAGGAGTGGGTGAATAGGACCTCTTGGCTTGAGGACCATGATTGTGAATACAGACATTTAAGTCGGAATGACACCTACATTGATGAATTTTCATTGTACAAGTATTTTTCCAGATCAAACCCCACAAAACCCACGTAATTCCTTGATCAATTTTCAATGCAGGGCAGTTAAATTGTTGCTAACATTTTTCATTTATATTTACTGAAGTTATTTTCATCAGAATTCATTCTTTTTCAAACAGTTACTAAACAAAGTTGTGATTCATAAGATTTACTTTGTCCATAGCATATTTTTAACCACTTTGTTGAGCTATAGTTCACATCCCATACAATTTACCCATTTAAAGTGTACAATTCAGTGGTTAGGATATTTGTGGAATTGTGCAACCATTACCACAATCTAATTCCAGAACATTTCATCACCCGGAAAAGAACCTCCATGCCCATTAGCAGTCATTCCCCCTTCTCCCCTTCCCCTAGCCTCTGGCAACCGTTAATCCACTTCTGTCTCAGTGGATTTGCCTCTTTTGAACATTTCATCATAGCACAGTTTGCACATTACAGTTTCTGCTGTCATGATTTTCCTTTTGTAGCTTTATTTTGTTTCTTCCTTTTCTCCTCCTCCTTCTTTTAGCCAAATTTAATATTCCAGGGGTTAAATGGTACAGATCTAAGATTTATGAAGATTTGATTCTTTTGTCAGTTTTTCACAAATAGCGAGTTTTACTATGCATAATTTTTTTTTGAGACAGTCTTGTTCTGTCGCCCAGGCTGGAGTCAGTGGCGCAATCTCAGCTCACTGCAACCTCCACCTCCTGGGTTCAAGCGATTCTCCTGCCTCAGCCTCACAAGTATCTGGGACTACAGGCGCATGCCACCATGCCTGGCTCATTTCTGGATTTTTAGTAGAGACAGGGTTTTGCCATGTTGGCCAGGCTGGTCTCAAACCCACCTCGGCCTCCCAAAAGGCTGGGATTACGGGCGTTAGCCACCGTGCCTGGCCTACCATGCCTAATATTAACAACCTGATTGTTTTTACTAAGTCTAATTTTCTCTGCTCAATTTTTGCAGCTTTCAAGATTTCTAACAAGATGGGGTTTTTAACCAGATTTTCATCTATCATCAATTTTACTGTGAACACTTTGGGCCATTGCCACTTTAATGTGTTTAATTGACTACTTTTACTGATAGTATTCATTAGGAACAGGACAGAAGGCACATAGTTTGTTCTCATTTCTTAACTAACCTGTAAGGAAATTGTGGGCAGTTCCCCTTCACTGTTGGAGGGCAGCTGTTTCCAGGTGTTTGCCAACCCAATTCTGCTTCACCTATATGCCCAGCCACTCTAGGTCCTCAGTACTGACTGCTTGCCTTCCTGGTAAAGCAAGGAGTCAGCAATGGGGTCCGGCTCCAGAGTCAAGATGCCCTTGGTGTCAACATGTTCTGTGTCCCACCATGTTTCTGAGCAACAGAGAGGAAGAGTGAAGTAGAAGAGCAGAGAGCTGTGAGTTCAAGAGGCACTGGTAGAATAGAGAGCAGCATCCCTGGAGCCAGAGGCCCTGGGTTCAAGTCTCAGCTGTGTGGCCTGGGCCAGGTCACTTTGCTCACTGAGGTTCCGTTCCTTCATCCGAGACATAGGCCCTTCCAGGTTGCAAAGGAGAGATGGTCCCTGATTACCAGGTGGAAGGGGCTTGTTGTGAGAATGCAGTGGAAAGTGGGGCAGCCCCAGAAACAGTCCAACAGCTATACTTTGACCTGAGCTCTGGGGCTGCTTCCTTCTGGCTGTATCTCACCTTCTCATGCCCCAAAGGAAGGTATTAGATCTAATAGAGTTCGTCACTATACAATTTCGAGCATGTCTCTCTCTCTCTCTTTTTTTTTGAGATGGAGCCTCGCTCTTTTGCCCAGGCTGAAGTGCAGTGGCGCAGTCTCGGGTGACTGCAACCTCCACCTACGGGGTTCAAGCAATTCTTCTGCCTCAGCCTCCTGAATAGCTAGGATTACAGGCACACGCCACCATGACAGACTAATTTTGTGTGTGTGTGTGTGTATTTTTAGTAAGGACGGGGTTTCACCATGTTGGTCAGGCTGGTCTCAAGCTCCTGACCTTAGGTGATTGCCCACCTCGACCTCCCAAAGTGCTGGGATTACAGGCGCAAGCCACCGTGCCCAGTCAGAGCATCTCTTTTTGATAGAGGATAGTATTACTCAGTTGCCAAATAAAATATAAGATGCCCAGTTACATTTGAATTTCAGATGAACAACAAATAGTTTTTTAAAGTTAAAAAAAGAAATTTATCTGGCAGCTGGACACAGTGGCGCACATCTTTGATCCCAGCGCTTTGGGAGGCCGAGGCGGGTGGATCACCTGAGGTCAGGAGTTTGAGACCAGCCTGGCCAACATGGTAAAACCCTGTCTCTACTAAAAATACAAAAAGTAATTAGCCTGGTGTGGTGGCACATACCTGTAATCCTAGATACTTGAGGCTGAGGCAGGATAATTCCTTGAATCTGAGAGGTAGATGTTGCAGTGAGCCAAAATTGTGCCACTGCACTCTAGCCTGGGTGACAGAGTGAGACTCTGTCTCAAAACAAAGAAAAAAGAAACTCATCTGACAACCTCATTGCAGGTACCTGCTCTTCCTACCTACCTGCAGGCCTTCTGTTCCTTCACTGAGCTGGCAGAGGCTGGGAGCACCAGGGTGTATCTGGGTAGAAAAGGAAAGAAGAGGGGAATGTATATTTATTGAGTATGCACTACATGCCCAGCAGTTCCACGTTGCTATATCATTTAAGCCTCACATCTTACTATGGGGAAAGTCTTATCAACCCCATTTTGCACATAAGGAAACTGAGGCTTGGAGAGAGTCCATAATTTGTTATGTAAGTTTGCAAGTAGAGATACTGGGATTCTAACCCATGTTCTTTCTACAGTGTCAATTCCCTGCTGGGAGTCAGAACTCCAGGGTTCTGTCCAGGCAAAGCTTTTAGCTCTCCTCCCCCTTCCCATACTGTTTCCTTCCCTCTTTCTTTTTGAACTGTGGAGCAAGGGTGTCAGGAGGTACAATGCCAGGTGCTACTAGGGCCTGGGGGTCACCACGAAAACCAGCCCTCCCTGGCCAGGAGTTTGGGACAGGGCCTGAAGCGGTTAGCTTTCTCCATGGGAGCAAATCTGGAGGGAGACAGGGGCAAGGGCTCAGGCTGCTGGCCCCCGGCCAGGTCCTTTCTTCCTGGCAGACACACTAGTGTCACCCCCTACCCTGCTCCTCTCTCAGGAAAACAGTCATTTTCTTTCAAGTTCCACTCCTATTCATCCTCTCTATCCTTCCCCCAAACACACACATGCACACACTCAGAGTTTCCTACAGGATTTTATTCTGAGACCTGTCACCTTCACTGGCGGCCTAGAATGAGAAAACTGCCCACCACCCCCTCTTCTGCCTGGGAAGTGAGGGGCCCCGCTAGCTGCAAAGAGGCGGAAGGAGCCATCTCACACTATGCTAGTGGATTAAAGGTTTGTGAGGGGAAAGAAAGAGCCTGGGAGTCTGTCCCCACAGCAGGGTGTGAAAGAGCCCAGCGCCAGACAGTCTGGTGCCCAGTGAAGACTCACAGTGTGCCCAGCAGAAGTGTGACTGGCACATCACAAACCCTCAGCTGCACCTCTGGACCCCAGGCCTTCCCTCTGCCTTCCTTGTCTCCCTCGCTTCCTTAGAGCCATTCCCTCTCCCCTCGTTAAGGGTTGGTCACTGGCTGGGAGGCAGAGGTTGGGTGGTTGCCAGGCCAAACAGGCCCAGGGAGGCGGCATTGCCTTGAATGGAGCTTGACTCAGGGGTGGGAGAGGGGATGTGCCCCTCCCCCACTTGCATTGGTGAGGAGAAGGGAATCCAGCTCCTCTGCTCTCCAAGACCCTCCCTTACATCTGGAGAATCTCAGCTCGTGCTTTGACCAGAAGGAATGATGTTTGGGCAGATTTATAAGCCTGGAGTCCTGGCAAATGTGCCTGCCTGTCTATGTGGGATAATGGAAGAGCCCTGGATTAGGTGTCAGGGCCTGCCTCAGCTACTCACTCATTCTGGGACCCTGGGCAGGCCCCTTGTCCTGGGGTCTCAGGTCTCAGTTATCACACCCTTGGCCCAAGAGTCCTGCCTCCAAGCCATGAGTCTTCCACTTGAGGTTACAATCCCAGCCCCTGGGATTTGCAGGGCTCAGAAATAGCCCACAAGAAACTCGGGATCTGGCCCTTCCAGCCATGCTGCTGCCGGGTTCATGCTGAGCTGCAGATGGGCCCAGACTCAGTTGACGGGGGCTGGGGCAAGGGGCCAGAGTCTCAGCCCTCAGGGAGGAGTTGTAATTTGGAGCAAAGGGAGAAAAACCCTTAACTAAGCAGAGATGGAAAACTTTCTCTCAGTCAGTGACAAAACACACCCTTTGTTCCTATTTGTTTTCACCTCAGAGCTCTCCAGAGTCCCTGAGGAAGTGAAGAGGAGAGGGGCAGGAAAGAACCTCAAATGAATGAGTCTTGTGGTTGTTGGCTGGCCATAGACCCCAGGCCCTGGAAAGGGCAGAGTGAAGTGTCTAGAGGTGACAGGAGGGTGTGAGGCCTGAAGAGAGATGGTGGGGAGCTGGGGGAGTCACAGCTGTGGCCTCTGTGGCCCCACTCTCCTCCGCTCTGACACTGAAGGCGGGGGCTGGGATTTGCTGGTAGCAACAGACACAGAACTGTTTTCAGACTCAGTCCAGGCTGTGGGGAAGAACAAGACCCTAGACCAAGGGTTCAGACAGACTCCTTCAGACTGGGGGCTTCTCCTGGGCAGAGGCTGCATCCCCTCCAACACACTGGGACCTCCACAGTCCAAGCCACTGTATTGGGGACTGTCCAGGGTAAGGGGAGTCCTCTCAGTCTGAGGGCTGCCCTCGGCCGGGTAGTATTGCCCTAGTCAAAGCCTGAGCTGCCCAGGGCAAAAACTATGTCTTCCCCATCAGACCAGGGGCTGCTGGGAGAGGGCCTACACCTCGCCATCATACTGGGTCTGTGGGGACCAGACTCAGGCTCTGCAGCAGGTGTGACTGACGTGGGCTCTCTGGGTGGCAGGTAACAAATGGTACAAGCAGCACCTCTCCTACCGCCTGGTGAACTGGCCTGAGCGCCTGCCGGAGCCGGCAGTTCGGGGCGCCGTGCGCGCCGCCTTCCAGTTGTGGAGCAACGTCTCAGCGCTGGAGTTCTGGGAGGCCCCAGCCACAGGCCCCGCTGACATCCGGCTCACCTTCTTCCAAGGGGACCACAACGATGGGCTGGGGAACGCCTTTGATGGCCCAGGTGCTGACACAAAGCCTCCCTCCCACACAGCAGGAGGGGAACCCAACTTGGAGAGGCAGTTTGGGGGTGGCAATGAAGTATTCACCCTCCCTGTGGCCTTGGCAGAGCCACATCTCCCTGCAAAAAACCCTCAGTCTCCTCATCCTAGAATGGGAACAGTGGTCCCTGCTCTACTATGTGTCACATGTCTGAACAGACAGTCAGATAAAGCTCTGTAAGAAAAATGCTTTGCAAATTCTAAAGAGTATTGTGCATTCTGGGAGAATCTCCCAAGATCCCATCATCCATCCTCTGCCTCTAGACAGTCCTGTGCTCCTCTTGTTCTCCAGAGTGGATGTTCACTCCAGAGCCCTAAAATACATCCACTGCCCACCACTGCTCCCCCACCCCCAACTACCACAGCTGCTGCCACAGGGCAAGAGGCACCCTACTCCTGACAACCCCGACAGGGAAGTGCTTTATATACCTACACCACAGATAGTTCTGTTTGTCCCCAACCTGAAGGTTCTGGCTGCAATTTAAACCACTCTCTTCCCCTTCTGCCCAACGCTGGCCTTCAGAACCTGAATATAGGCTATTTGCATATTTCCTCTCCTAACGAAGAAAGGAAACCTGATCAGACCCCTTCAGGCTGGGGACTTAAGCCCTTGTATGGCCTGGGAACTTGAGCCCCCATCTCCCTCGCACCCTCCTGCTTTCAGTCAAGCCCACCTACAGCAAAGCCCACATCCAGGCCCTGCTGCTGGAACCTGGATTAGGACCAAGAGAAATCTAGGCTTTGCAAGAATCCACATGTAGTGCACACATGCACTTATTTGTAACTGACTTCATCCATGTGATCTACCTGAGATGGTTCTATCCATACCTAGTTAAGACAGCACTGCACTGGGAGTGAGGACTTTGGGATCCCCAAGCAACTCTCTGATTTGGGACAGATACCTTGTCTTTTTGAATAGTGGTCTTCTCCTCTCCCAAAGCTGCCCATCTCTCTCCCAGTGAGAGCTGAATAGAGTGAACAGTGCTTGAAACAGCTGGAGGCGTATTCAAAATAAGCATGTATTCCTCCTACACACGGCTGACCTTCCATGCCCCCAGGAGGCTCTCCTTTTAGTCCAGCCCCCCATTTTTGTCAGTCCCAGTTGGCCTGGGGTCCAAGAAGGCAAAGCTGGAGGAACCCTCAACAAGCTTCTATGCAAACTTTATCCTAGCGCAGTTTTCTGACTCCTGTGTCAGGGTCACCTGCCCCTGTGGAAGGTGAATCGTTAGGGGTGGTACCCTGGCACCTGCACATGTAATAAGCTCCATCTGGGGCACACTAAAAGCTTGAAAATCACTGATCCGGCCCAACTCCCTCTGCTCATTCCTATTATAAGTAGAGAGAGGCCCCCCAGAGGTGCCCTGGCAGAGGAGGTCAAGAATATATATATATATATATATATAAATAATTAATTATAATAATAATAATATATTTAATTATAATTATATATATAAATAATAAAAATATATACTTTTTATTAAAGAAAATATACATAATATAGAAGTGAATTATCTCAAGTTTAGCCTGATGAACTTTCATACACTGAACACTCCCAGCACCCAAATCCAGAAACAGAAGGTCCCATCACGCCTCCTTTTAGGGGTAACTATACTCTACCTACTTCTAGATATTTTTGAAAGTAATTCTTATGTAGCCCTTATTATGTGCTAGGCACTGTTCCAAGGATCACTTTTTTGTTGTTGTTGTTTCATGTTTTTTTTTTTTGCTTTGTTTTTGTTTTTGTTTTTGTTTCGAGACAGGGTCTCACTCTGTCACCCAGGCTGGAGTGCAGTGGCACAATCACAGCTCACTGCAGCCTTGACCTCCTGGGACTCAAGAGAGCCTCCCCACCTCAGCCTCCCAAGGAGCTGGGGCTACAGGTGCACACCACCACGCCTAGCTAATGCTCTTGGTTTTTAGCAGAGAGGAGGTCTTGCTTTGTTCCCCAGGCTGGTCTCGAACTCCTGGACTCAAGTGTTACTCCCACATCAGCCTCCCAAAGTGCTGGGATTACAGGCGTGAGCTACCGCACCCTGCTGCATGATTTGTAATACACATGTACACACACACACACACGCACATACACACTTATTCAGAACAACTCTGTGAGGAAGAAGCTCACCATCATCATTCCCATTTGCAGATCAGGAAGTTAAGACAGAGAGAGGTTAAACTAAATGCTGAAGGTCACACAGCTAGTAGATTGTAAAAGTAGGTATGGCACCCAAATTGGTGGGCCCATGCCGTATCTGCACCACAGTGCCTCTTAGGCCTCCACAACCTAGTCATCTGTTCACCTCTGCACACATCAGGTTCTGTCAGACTTTAGGAGGGAAACTATACAGCAGAAAACAGCCACACACACCCCAGTGGCATTTGCGCTGGGCCGCGAGTACTTGGGGGCATCGTGGGCCCGTGGCACCCCCTGACGTTCTGCCCCGCCTGCAGGGGGCGCCCTGGCACAC